ATTCAGAAATTTAGAAATTCAGAAATTCAGAAAATTGAGAAATTTAGAAATTCAGAAATTCAGAAATTCAGAAATTCAGAAATTCAGAAATCAAGAAATTTAGAAATTCAAAAATTCAGAAATTCAGAAATTTAGAAATTCAGAAATTCAGAAATTCAGGAACTCTGAAATTCAGAAATTCAGAAATTCAGAAATTCAGGAACTCTGAAATTCAGAAATTCAGAAATTCAGAAATTCAGAAATTCAGAAATTGAGAAATTTAGAAATTCAGAAATTCAGAAATTCAGGAATTTAGAAATTCAGAACTACCGAGAGCCAGAACCTCTGAAAAGCCGCGAAAACACCTAAAAATTGATTTTTTGGCGTTTTAAAGCATATTCAGGGGTTTTAGGACATGTTTGAAATTCAAAAATTGCAAAAAAAAATTTTTGAAATTTTCTGAAAAAATTTTTTTTTTGAAAATCTGAAATTTCCAGAGAAGACGCCTCGAACAACATTCTGACACCTCTACACGAACAAAAAGCGTCGAGTTTTACGTATCAATCGCAAAAAGTCTCGTTCGCTAACTCGTTGAAACGAGTGAGGCGGCGTGGAACGTAAGCGCGCTCCATTGAGAATTTTTCTAAAAATTCAAAAATATTTTTGATTTTTATGAAAACCAACTTTTATAACGAGAAAAGAGCATCATTTTTCTCGACGTTTTGCTTGAAAATAAATATCATAAAATTTCAAATTCTAAACTGTCGCAAATGCGCTCCAATGAGAATTTCAATGTTTTTCTTTTCAGACGAACCGCCGACGATCCGGAAGAGAAGACTGCATACATTCCGTATTGAGAACTTATTCTTTTGATTCTCTTGATAAATAAAATTTTGACATTTTTTTTGGAACATTTTAGATTCGAAAATTTTTCAGATTTTCAAAAAAATTTTCATCATTTTTTCGAAATTTTTGAAAAAAGAAAATAGAATCCGAACCATCCATTTCGGTCCGAAAACCAACTTTCTAGGCCTTCTAGAACCCGAGATACATCCGTTTGAAGTCTTGGAGGCGAGAGACGCAGACGGCGAGGCTCTCGAGCTGTCTGTGTCTCTCCTGAACTTCAAAGCCCATATCTCAGCTCCCAAGCATCCTGGAAACTTCAAAACTTCACAGAAGTCACTAAAAATCTTTACTTTTCACTACTAAACACATAACATATATATATATATATATATATATATGGCATATTATATCGAGATGGGGATGGAGAAAGGGGCGTGGCGATGATGGCAAAATATGAAATTTTGAATTTTTCCAAAAAAAAATAATAATACACATGAAGAGAGAAAAAAAGAATGAAAGAAAAATTATGTATATCTTTCTTATATATAAATCTGGATGCATAAGAAACTATAAATCTATAAGGGGGGGTGGGGGGACAAAAAGGGGGCGGAGCTTAAATTTTACTCCTCGTCTTCTCCATCACTGGAATGAATCGATGGACGACGTGACGTGGCGGCCGATGGAACTTTTCCCTCGTTCTCTCTGATGATCTTGTCGACGCCGTCGGGATGAAGGCGTTCCAGTGCCAATCGGCGGCAATCGCTGAAATTCAAGAAATTCTGGGAGGCCTAGGAAATTCAAAGTTAGGCCATTACTTCTTGAAAAGCAAGATTCTATTGGCGGTGGCCTGGACAGACAAACATAGGCCACTGGTTTTTTGTGGCCCAGAATCCCAAACTCGGCCACTTTTATGTTGATGGCCTAAAATCACAAATTCCGCTTTTAGCGGCCTAGAATACCAAACTCGCCCGTTTTCTTCTATTCGCCTAGAATCCAAAATTCTTCCATTTTTCGTTTGTTAGCCTAGCAT